ATCTATTTCTGTTAATTTTAAATATATATAAGTAGTTTGTTCTTATATTTGTTATATTTTATTTATAGCCATTAAGTTATTCATATATTAAAATCTTTTGGTTATGGATAACTTCAATATAAGAACATTTTTAGCTCAAGTTACTAAATCTTTCCCAAAACATTTTAAATTAAATTAAGTTGACTTTTTTAACATCTTATTATTTATATTTATTTACAATCGTTTTCACAATTGAGTATCTTATTATATTAACTATTTTCTTCAATTTCAAATATTTAAAAGTCTCCTATACTTGTACTATTTTAACAATGACTTTTAAGCTACTGATATTCAAGGAATTTCTTGAGGAACAACTTAGTTCAAGTTCCAAAATTCCAACAGCAATAATTTTCTTCAAGTGCAGAGCCCTTAAATACCATTTTTTATATTTCCCCCTTGGGTGAGATACTTTTCCCCGCAAAAGATACTTTTACTATGCGTAAAATTATTTCTTTTTAATGGCTGCTGGAACTCTGTAATTGTTTTAAATGATTGAGTCGAGAGAAGGTAGGCATTTCCCCCCAGTCAACAAAGTTGCGTAAGTGAAAAATCCCAAGAAAAGAGATAGGCCATACATATGTACATAGTAACATAGTAAGGGTATCATTTTCGTCTGCGGATGGACAATCTATTTGATGGCTCACCATTTGACCACACAAATATCTCTATTTTGCGTGGTTCGTCGCTTGATTTATAACGGAAAATTCGTTTAAGCAAAACAAAACGTTAAACAATTTTTGTGGGCCACGTTAATAAGCGCAACATAACGAACATAATATCTTAACTTGGTCATCAGGCATCAAGCAGCACCAGACAGACAGCACAACAAAAGAAAAGGCATCTTTAAAAGCAACAGCAACATCAGCACAATAACAACAACATCGCAGCAGTCATGGCTATTACATAAGACCCACACTCTCAGATACAGATACTCGCGCCGATGCAGATACTTTGCAGCAAACTGAGAGTGAAGCTGAGCCCCAGTCTCAGTCTCAGTCTCAGTCTCTGTCCCAGCCTCAGCTTGGGGTTCGAGACCGGGACTGAGACCTGAAGACCGGAGACTGAGACTGAATCTGGGGTCTTAGACAGCGGCAAACATGGCGTCGTCGAAAAGAAAATAGTCAATGTATTGTGGAAAGAAAACATCAAAGCGCAAAAGAAAAAGAGGTGAGCTAGCTGCTAATACACAGCGAGAATAAGTATTTACTTGCTAAAGGTTTAATAAATACAAATTTTAGCTCTCGGAAACAAAGGGTAATAGTGGCTACCGGGCATACGTGGCGTATACTTAACGTGATAATCCTTAAATTAAGTATACGCCGTGTGTGTCTTCAGGGAGAAAGGGTTACAAATTTATAATGATAAAAGGCAAGCTTAACAATTAAATAATAAGACCGAGTCGAAAATCATAACTATAAATAGTTTTTTATTAAAATTTTTGTTAAAGAAATCAATCTTCAAAAAACTCATAACTAAGCCAAAAAAGCATTAATTTTAATTCGGAAAGCTGTTCTTTGTTGGTTTTTATTTGATTAATAAATTGCATATTAATTTATAATTTAAAATAAATAAAATTTTTGTAGATTTTGGATAATTTTAACGATGTAACCCCTTTGCTCTTTTTGTTATAAATTTAAAATTATTGAAAAATTGTTTTCTTTAAGAGATGGCTAGATTGACTCGGCCGATCAAGAATATATATAATTTATAGGGTCGGAAAGTTACTAGCTTCTGAATGAAAGTATAATACCCTTGCAAAGGTATAAAAACATCTCTCAACATTTTTCTCTGAGTGCACTTGGATGCCCCATTGTTGTTGCCGCTGCTGTATTAGATAGCAAAAGTCAGTCTTCGGTTGCCGCTGGAGTCGGCATAGAAAGTGAAACCGAGTTGGCCGCACGATCGCTGCCCGTTGCCAGGCGAACTGGCTAACGAATACCAGTGCAAAAGAGAGGGAACGAAGCCAGGCTTTAAAATATAAGCCAAACACACAACAACTAACTATTACTCAATCTGTGCTAAAAAGAAACAAAAATAAAGATAGATAGATAGATGTAAAGTTGGTCTCTCTCTCTCTCTCTCTCTCTCTCTCTCTTACTCTCTTACTCTCCATCTCTTTCGCTGTGCTGGGGCATGAAAATAAAAATGAAGTAACCCACTTTTTCCGTTATGGTTTCCATAGTTGCTGCAGCTAAAGAAATAAGCAAGCTTGGAGGAGACGAGGAGGCACAACAATGCGCAGCGCGGACAAAGTGGAACTGAAGTGTGAAAGATGGATTGGATGACAACTGAATAGGGTTCGGCATCGGGAAATCGGGGGATCTGCATCTAAAACCGTTCACCTCAATATTGGACTTCAAAAAAGTATGAAAAAAAAATAACTGAAAGTGAAGGTGATCGAAAGGGTACAATCTTTCAATCTATTAATAACAAACCCTTTTAAAGATTTCAACTTAAATACTTGTAATTTGTATAGACTATGATAATGTTCAGGCTTCACTTTAACAGAATAAATTTAGTTTCTGTATTTATTTCGTATTCTAATAATTACTCATTTTAGTCATTTTAAATTGAATTTGCAAACATAATTTAAAAACACAGATTTATGTAAATAACTTTGTATATTTTACTTATTAAACTGCAATTAAATATTAACTGTAGTTATTCTATATTCTACTTAATTTATTTAATCTTATTGAAGATTTCCTACGCTTTAAATCCCTTTAGATCAATTTAATTCCCGCCCCACCTGGCTGCCTTCCTAATTTAAATCCTGTCAACGTCTCAGCCCCGCCCCTTTCATTAGGGCAATTAACATTTATCAGCTTGTGGCACAGGTAAGACAGGTAAGAAAAAAAGGCGCTGCCAGATTGCATGTACATGTACATCATCTTCCCGCTGTGTGTGAATGCGAATTTATCACTTTTCGCTGCCGCCGCTCATAACTCATACGCCTCGTGGCCGCCGCGCTCGCTTGGCGCTTAGTTGAACAGTAATTGTGCGGCAATTTTCGTTCGCTTGCCAAAACCCAGATGCATCTTGCATCTGTGCATCTACCACTCGATCCTACATTAGGCTTCAAAATGGGAGGGGAGACCACAGCTTTCACCTTAAGCCGCTTAGAACCCTTATCAAAGTCGGGCTTTAAATTGAAGGCTCTCTGTTTTTCGTTGGGCCAGCGACACCCACAAGTTCGGGGCATTTTCACTTTTTATTTTTTCTGGGTAGAGTGCATGCGCAATTAGCTTTCATCAATCAAAGTACTCAACAATGCAGCTAGACAAATTGGGCGTACGCAGCAGCAGCAGCCGCAGCCGCAGATACAGATACAGATATACGGATTCGGATACAGAAACCGAGACTGATGGAAAGAAAGTTTTAGGGCAGCGCCTTGGGTCTCCAAAAAGGGCTTAGCCCGAGCCCAAACATTTCTGTAAGTGATTATCTGCCCCAGGTCGGAGGCAATGGTTCCCCCAATGGCAACGTTTCCCCCCACTTTTTATTTGGGCTTTCTCTGGCGCGTTAATTTGTCTGCCTTTTTCCCGAGCTGCATTAATTCTTTCTTTTTCGCTTTTGTCGTTTATAAATTTGCTTTTCGTTTCGGGTTTGTCTTACTGTCAAATCGTGTCAACACAGTCGCCTTGCAATTGTCTGGGGGTCTGCACATTGTCCCTTCTATGTGCCCCTCAATTTTTCCCCTCCCGTGTGTCCCAGCTGTCGCGGCTGGCAGCCCAAAATGCATTGCCGTGTCGCCTTCAGAAGACGGCCCAAAAGAAATGTGAATCCCCTCGCACTCTTTGGGAGACAGCCGGTTGTATCTTTGGCTACTCAAAGATCGTGTGTTTTTGTCGCCTAAATATGGCAGACATTTTATTAGACATTTTTTGGCAGGGCTTTTCACTTCTCATTGGGTCGGAAAACTAATTACCAATTGTTGATAATTTGTGAAAATTATAATTAAGCTTAGGAGAAGAAGTTTACTAGGAGTTTAGATCGAAAATAAGATAGACTTTCTGAGCAAAATTATAATCAAATTAAGAGAATAAACTCTGAGAAGAAATGATTTTAAGTCTTAAAATTTTAAGTTTATCTTGATTATTTTGTGAGTTCAATTGGATAAAAAGTTACTTGTTTAAGAAACTTTTTCACTATGTTATTAATATTCAAACTGAAGGAAAGATCAAATTTAAATAAAGTCATCTTATAAGAAAGATTTATCTTCTAATATTTATATGTTATATATTATATATTTATATACGACTTACTATTTAAAACAACCTTTAACCTGCAGGATTTTATCTACTTTTAAGCCTGAAAGTAAGGTGAAATTGAAATGTTTTAGGTTCCCTTTAATTAACTATTTGTTTTTTACTCTTAACTTTACAAGCTTTACAAATAAATAATTAGAAACAACTCTTCAACTTCTTTTGTATATTGTAAATTTTATTTAATTTATTTAGATTTGCTTTACAGTTTTCTTTGTGGTTTTGTGTATATTTAATTTACGAATATATAAATTAAAATGAGAACATTGCGTTGGCCTTACAAATTAATAGCATTCATATCTTCTACGCTCTCGTGGAAGCGAATTGCCTCGCCTTTTTCAGCGTTATCGCTGGACCCTGGATGCAGGTGGCGGGCAATCTTCGGGGCAATCCTTCGAGGTTGCAGGTAAAGCGGTTACTCGATGTTCCAAGGGGGGGAGGGGATGATGAACTTATGTACTAAAGATTTTGCTAAATTGGTTCTCTGTGGTTTCTCAAGCAGGGACTGAGGCTGGGAGTGGGCGTGGCATGAAGCATAGCGCAAAGCGGCACACACACCATTCAAGAAATGTACAAATTTTATTTAGATACTTTTTGTTTTGATTGTTTTTTTTTTGTTTTTGTTTTTTTTTTTTGTTTCTTTTGTGGTATAAATAAGTTCAGGTTTTTGTATTTTCTGTTTTCTTTCCTGCTTGTTGGGTTTTCTCTCTTTTTTTACATAAATATTTTTAACATTTTTCTTTGGCTTAACTTTATGATAAAGATATAATGTATACGATTATGTGTATAAAAAATGTGCGAAATATATGTTACAGTCGTTAAGAATTAAGTACAAAAATATGCTTTACAATGATAACAAGAAGGGGGTGGAGTAAGGGTGTTTTTTGGGGAGTAGAAGAAAATGTACAAGGATGTTTTTGGGTTAAGTGTAAGTTACGAGTAGAAAAAGTCGATGAAAATAGCAAAAGGAAAATGGTTCTTACAAGCTACCCACACAGCATTTTGAATCTTTGATTTAGCAGAGTCGCTCCAGGACCTTTCACACACAATGTACACACACACACCCTCTCAAGCACTCGCTCGCATATAAACTCCTTTCACGCATCCGGCGGATCTCTGTATCTGCATCTACATCTGTTTCCGTATCCGTTTTCTAGAGCTGCTGCTGCTGCTACAGCGCATGCTCGTTGGTGTTGAGGAAGCTGCGGCAGACGCGACTCACTTCGGGATTGGCATGGTTCATCAGCTGCATGTAGATCTGCTTGTGCAGCTGCAGCTCGTTGGTCATCTCGCTGAGCTGCCGGATGAGTGCGTCCTTCTCCTTGAGCAGGCTCTTCACTCGCTCCTCCACCTCCCTGGACCGAACCTTGGCCTTCTCGCGGCTCTTGCGCACAGCAATGTTGTTCCTTTCCCTTCGTCGCCGATACTCCTCGGTGCCCTTGTCCACATGCTTGTTGCTGTGCTTTCGGTGATGTTGATGCTGCTGCTGGCCATGATGCTGGGCATGTTGCTGTTGCAGCTTACTGTGTTGCTTCAGCAGGTTGTGGGCACCCGCTGCAGCCGCCAAATGGGGCAGATTGTGATGCGCCAGGACATTCGCTGTGGTCAGGTTGGTAAACTGGCTGCCATTGCTGCTCCCGGTGCTCCCATTGCTTCCATTGCTGCTGGGCGTGGTGTTGCCATTCAGGGGATTACCTCCGCCATTGGACAATCCATTGCCCGCCGTGGAGTAGCCATTGTAGAGTCCTCCGCCGTTGCCCATAAACGCTGCCTGCTGGTTGGCCGCCTCCTGAAGATGCCGCCTGTACTCGGGGTCTATGGGTTCCTCCTTGATAGTGCTGGAATCGGAGCCCACGGAGCTGTTCTCATCGCTGGAGTTGTTGTACGTTGCATGAACCGGCTGGGGCATGTAGGCCAGAGCCCCGCCAGCACCTCCTCCCCTGCCGGCGCCGCCGCCATAACCATGTTGATTGCGCAACGTCTGCTGCTGCAGCACCTTGGCCGCTGCACTGACCATTCCGCTGGGTGGCAAAGTGGCTGAAAGTCCACCCGGACTGGTCACCATGTCGCTGAAGATACCCAGGGTCTCGGTATCCCGGAACTGGTCATCGATCAGGTGCTGCAGATCCAGAGTGATCTCCTGTGTGGTCAGCTCATCGAGGTCCGTCTGTGTGGTGTACTGTTGCAGCATCTGCTTCTGCAGCAGGTTGCTGTTGTTGGCGGCAGCCACTTGTTGCATTTGATGCATCTGCTGCTTCACCAGCAAGGCAGCATCCTGTGGGGTGTTGTTATTGGCATCCGTTGCCTGTTGAGGTTGCTGCTGCTGCTGTTGATGTTGCTGCTGCTGCTGCTGTTGCTGCTGTTGTTGCTGCTGTTGCTGCTGCTGCTGCTGCTGTTGTTGCTGCTGCTGTTGCTGCTGCTGTTGGGCTGTGGACATGGCAGTCAGTGTGATCTGGCCAATGGTCGCCTGCTGCAGCGGCGGCTCCTTTTTGAGGTCCAGCTGGGCCAATGTCTGAACGGCATCGGCGTACATCTGCGGCGACTCCATGTTCAGCATTTTCAAATGCGAAAAAGAGGGTAAAATCTTGATTCCTTGTAGCGCGCTAATTTTGGCTGCTTTTCTTTTAACTTAATTTTGTGTTTTTGTATTTTATAAACTCAGAGTTACTTCCTAAAGCATTGCCAATTTTTTAGGAAATGTTTAATTTTTTGTTTGGAATTTTTTTGTATAAATATTTAAACACTTTGCTCAGGTTTCATTTTAGGCTGCCCTTTGGTAAAGCACTGCAGCCGGGCATGGTTATTAACTTTTTCTTGGGCTTTGTTTTTATTAATTTATTGTTGTATTGTATTGTTGTACGTTTTTGTGATTTGTGGTGTTATTTATTGTTGTTGTTGTTGTTGTTGGACACTGCACTTCTCGGGCCGCACGCGCTCGAACGACTGAAGTGGCGCAGCAATGATGCAACAGATTTTATACCGACAACCGTTTGGTATTAGAAGCTGAAGCTCCTCCTGCTGAAGAACCGTTAGCAGAGCGAGCTTTTTTCCGCCTGTCTTCGCTTTGGGGGGATTCGGTTTTTTCGGATACCGGGAGTCGGAGCTGAGCGCGCGTCCGTCGCTCACAGTTGGTGAATTACAAATGTGACAAAAGGCGAACGCAAACGCAAAAGTCTTTGGCGCAGCCAGCAGCGGCAAGCTGCTAGCAGCGAGCAGCGAACAACAGCAGGCAGCGTTAAAGAAAAAGGCAGAAAACAGAAAGAAAATGAGAAGGCAGCGCCGCATGTAAGACACACACACACACACAACACACACACTTACACTGAAAGCCCCCCAAAATGACTCGGACGCGTCGCCGTTACTGCGCTGCCTTTACAGCAACTACCTGTGGATGAGCGCCACAAGAGAGCAAGCCCGAGAAAGAGAGAGGGAGAGCGAGAGAGAAAGAGAGCAAAGATCGCTATCGGAGCCAGGTAACAAAAGCAAAAGTTTTTCCCAATCACTTTTACTCTCGTTGCAAGGCAGTTCACTTGGCAAGTTCTTGGCTGGCTCCAAGCAACGTCACAGCGAACAAAATCGAGAGTAAATGAAAAGAAAATCAAAGAAAAATACAGAAAATTCAATGAAAATAAGAATATAAATAAAAAAGCTAATATTTAATTAATTATTTATCGTAAACTCGATTTTATAGAACCTTTTAGAGTTGGAAACCACCGTAAAATAGCAAAACGTCATTAAGGAATTAACCTAACATTAAATGAATATAATATTAATACATTTTTTAAATACATTTTATGTACCCAAGTAAGCATGATTCTTTGAAACTTAAATGATGCATAATAAAAAACATTTTAACTTAATTTAAAACTGAAAGTGCAGAACCTTTATTATTTTTGAAACATAAGCTTTTACCAAATTTTTTTAAGTGTTAAAGTTGTAATGAAGTATATGTAAATATTACTTTGCTCTCCATAATTTATAACAATTTAATATGTAATAATTTTCAAGATTTAAGCCATGAAGTTTATCAATAAAATATAAATATAAACGGAATACAATTTTATAATTGATTTAAAAATATAATTTTAATTATTAACATATACTACTTAAACATTTTTAAATAAAAGTATAAAGTATATTTCAATTATTTGAATTTAAATCGAAATATTCCCCCTTTATCATTTAAAAAAAAAACTCCCATCTTTAGTGGCCTTATTTCACCAAAAGCCTTAATGCACCGTTATACGCTTGACAAGTGACGTCACACAAAGGCACTCCACACAAAAAAGAAATAAAAGTCATAGTCACCCATACACACACACACCACAAACACCAACGCAAGGCAACGCTGACGTCGCTGCCAGCGTCTTTTGCTGCTCGCTTTCATTTTCGTTTGCTTCTTTTTTTTCTTTAGGGAGAAGCGGCAGCTAAATACTCAAATAAATATATATATATATATATTTGTATATATATGTGTGTATGTATATGTACGCCCTCATAAACCGGCGATCCGCTGGGAAGTTCGAAACCCCCTCCGTAAGCCCCCCCCACGATCTACCACCTCGTTCGCTGTCCAATTTTTGGTGCCTTGCCCACTCCGATTTGTGTTTAGACTCTTGTTTTTTTCTGTGCCTTAGAAGAAGAGCTGCCTGCCTTATGGCCCGTGCTGCATTGGGTTTTGAATTGGGGTTTTAGGTTTCGGGTTTGGGAGTTTGTTGTTTTTGTATCGGGGTTTATTTTGGCGCGCATGCGTGACTTTGCAGCCGCAACGCATCAGGGAGCTTTCACGTAATACGCAGCGGAGTTGCTTTGGGACTTTTGCTGCTGGCACTGCTGCTGCTGCCTTATTAAAATTAAAATCGTGTTATGAAATTCATAAAAAATTAGCACGCCTCGTAGTTTTGTTTATTTAAATGCAGCGATTTGTAAAAGTTGTCTCTGTCTGTCACTCTCCCCTTTCCTTGCTTACGCATTTACTCTCTCCTTTGCTGGATTTTTCGTGCCTTTAATTTGGGTCAAGTTGTCACTTAACTTTACCTGCCAAAAGGTGTGTGCATTTCTCTCTCTCTTTGTCTCTCTCTCTCTTTCTCTTTTTGTGCCCACTCCTTGTCTCCCTATATATCTGTCTCTCTGACCACCTTTTGTTTATTTGGATTTTATTAATCATACGCCCCGTGTGCACTTGGACGATAAGAGCCTGCTCGGCAATGTCGATGACAGGATGAGAGCTTTGTTTCTGGCTTATCAGTCAAGTTATTGCAGACGAATTTAAAATATAACATATATCGATGCGATATCGATGACTACACCGTATCGTTGGATTGTGCAAAATCTCGGTTGCATTTGCTTCCTTGTACGTAAATAAGAACAATGTCGATTTCAAAATATGTTGAATTTCAAACTGCACCCTTTGTTGTTCTGAACAAATTGCATTATGGGTGCAATATTACCCAAGAATTCATCGATAAGGGGGTTTATCTGATGTTCAGTGTGATGAAATCATGCAGATGAGGCAAGATCGATGTGTTCTCAATGATATCGTATCAGTTCTGTGTAATCCCTATCCTTGGATATTGTTGTATTGATCTCATTGATAATTAAAACAAAGAGCATTTACTTTGATTCGATCGATCTTTAAAATAGCTTATATTTTAATTATTTGGTTATGTAAAATTTCAAAACCTGGAGTTTTAGAAACTTTGATGTCTCGAACAAATTTTATTTTAAAAATTTCTATAAATATCGAATATTTAAAGCACAGTTATGTTCAAATTCCGACTCGGTCTTATTATTTAATTGCTAATTTTTCGTTTTAATTGGAACTATTTATCTTTATTAATTGGTAAACTATTCTTTAGACACACATGGCGTATACTTAATTTAGTGGTTTTTACGTTAAGTATACACCGTGTATGCTAGATTTATATCGATCACTATTTTTATACGGCCGTAGGGTTAGTTTCCGATAAAAATTATATATATTCTTGATCAACATGAAGAGACAAGTTGATCTAGCTATGTATGTCCAGCAAAAATTAATTTTTTTCTAAATTTTGAAAATTTTATAAGGGGTTACATCGTTAAAATTGTCAAAAATTGATAAAAATTTTAAAATTTTAAATTGAATATGCAGATTTATTTAGCTGATAAAAACTAGCACAGAACTTTCCGAATTAAAATTAAGGCTTTTTTGGCTTAGTTATGGAATTTTTAAACTTAGAATCGATGAACAAATTATTATTTCAAGTTAACAATTAATCAGCTTAAGGTCTGATAGATTATATTCAAAGAAACTACACTTCATTTATTATATGGCACTACATCAAGGAGTATATATGCCAAATAAATCCTATTTAATTTTAAAATCTATATAAAACCCATGTTAATGCTTTCCTCTTACAAAATTAAACATTTAATAGACAATTACTAACCAAGTAAACTTCCCACTAAGTGAAAGTCCGGCAAACACCTTTAAAAACCAAAGATAAAGATAAGGGCACCTATATATCCATCTATCTTGACACTTTTTCTCGCCCAAAAGAGTACAGATGGTGGGTGTATTTATCTGTGCTCGCCACGCGCAGCGCTAAAAAAAGAGTATATATTTATATTTTGGCAAACGACTGATAAGAGACGGCTAAAAGCCGCGAAGGCGCGTAAACAAAACAAATACGAGTAGCTGGGCAAACCAGACAAATTCACAACTCTTAGCCGCGTTCGTTGCACTCCGCCCAAGAGTTGTCTGACACATGCAAAAAAGCATACACAAAAAAGCAGAGCAAAACATGGCCATAATTGAGAGTTTTTGGCCAATGATTTCTGGGCCTCTTTCGGTCTTCAATTTTCTGTGTTTTGTTTTGCTATTCAACTTTTTTATTATTAGTCACCTTATCTGCCGAAAGAGTGACGCGTTATCGATGGCTTTGTACTTCCTTAAATTTGAACCCGATCGCAATGAACTCGAACCGAAAGTTGGATGACTCGTGGGTATTATTCTCACGGCCCTGTTAAGGTGGCTTCTGACCAGAAGACAGTTCTGCTGGCCAGCAGCGAAAACTTTTCGCCGAAGAGCGAACCAAACTTTCATTGGCGTGAATTTGGACGAATTACGCCTGGTCAGCATTTAAATATTATTAATTTCTGTTGCCATCAGCAATCACAGGGGAACGAACGGCTCGCTTTCAGTGGAAGTAGAATCAGAATCAGAAGCGGAGACAGAAGCACCAGAAGCCAACGTAGAACCCAAGAGAATCCCAAGCCCCTCTTTTGGGAAAAGAGTTTTGGGGTCGTTGAACTGCCTGCATTTCGAATTGGTGCTAAGGTACACTGCAATTAGGTGGAAATCGCCAGAGTTTGAGTTTTCCCCAAGCGGGGATTTGTGGAAAATGTTCCAAAGGGTATTGAGTTTATTTAGGGTTTATTTTGATGTCTTGAATGAGTCAACAGATACGTAATTAAATTGTAAGAAGGCGGAAAGTCAACAAACAAGTTTTAGGTTAAGATAATTATATTGATTTCCATTCAAATCGTAAATAGTTGGTTAATGAAAAGAAAACTTTTTTAAGTTAGTTTTTTATATTTATGTATACTTTATGTTTAAGTGTTTCTTCTTCTAACATTTTCAGAGTTAGTAGCCTTAAATATAAATAATTATTTTATTTATTATTTGAAATATGATACTAATAAAAATTTAAAGAAATATTCAGTGAACATGCTTCATTTTGCTTGGTTAATTTTAGGGTTTCAATGTCTTTGGTTTCTAGGTATTAATTAAAATTAATATATGTATTAATTATTATTATTTGATTATTTGATTATTTATTATTATTTTAAGTAAATTATAAACAACTTTTAAATTTTGTAATATC